TGCCCGACAACCGGACCATTCACCACCCAAGTCCGTGACTGTGCAAAACGACACTGCCCTCGCCCTACTCGTATGAAGGAACCCGTATCGATCCAACAAGTCCGGGACATGGCCGCGAGTTACTTGCAGTCCGACGATCCCGCGACGTTTCAGAAAGGGTTGATCCCCATCCTCATGTACTCAGGATTCCTGCGATATTCTGACCTGGCAGCCATAAAATGGCAAGACATCCAATTCGATGATGCGGTCATGTGGATTCTCATACCACACTCCAAGACCGATCAGGCTGGTCATGGCACTTGGATTCCCATTGCAGCAACGACAGACCCTTGTTGCCCAGTGCGCTGCACCCGACGCTTCATCCAACTGGCTGGCTATGGCCCACAGTCACAGGGACCATTGATTCGGGTCTTCGGCCACGCTTCAACCAGCGAGGGCCAAGCAAGGCCACCCTCATACACCACGATCCAGAACTGGTGCAAGGAAGCCTTCGCAAAGGTGGGCCTTGGAGACCTGCAGCTCGGCACACATTCTTTCCGAAAAGGTGCAACCACAGTAGCAGCCAGCACGGGCGTGCCAGACAGGGTCTTCAAACGGCTGGGCAGATGGCGAAGCGACTCAGCAAAGGAAATGTATGTTACACCATACGTCGAGCCTCTTATCGAAGCCTCCCGTAACCTACAAGACCTGACGCATGCAGCGTCATCGGCACAACACTCAAAGGCACTCGTACGCAACCGGAGGCCCCCGCTGCCCATGTCTCAAAGACCCTATTTGTAATGAGAACGATGCCAATTGATAAGAATAAGAAAGCAAGCTTTCTCAATATTACAGTTTTTAAACACACATTGTGTTTTTTAAAATTGTGTATTGTGAAAGCGAAGCTGCTTGTACTGCACAATTGGCATCATCGAAGCGCGCTAAACGCCCTTCTCCAACTACAAAAACCGTGGGTTGGAGTTCATTTCCCTCCACCCACGCTTCTCGATTTTCAAACGGCTCACTCAACATTCCCACCACCCACCCCAGAGTAAACCGCCTTGCTAATGCCACTTGGATAGGGTACATCTTAGCTACCGTCATCGCCCGGATATAAGACAGTGTCGAATTGAAGACATGGGGTGTCGTTAAAACGGGTGTTTCTTATAGATGGGTGTTCCTGATTATAAGACAACTGTCGCTGTGTACGAGTTAGGCCAGTATATAGATTAGGGGCAATCTTATGACTAGGGGGTATCTTCTAAACGGTTTTTTGTCCATTTATAAGAATTATAAGACACCCTCAACCATCCCAATTACAAGACACAGCAAGCTTTTTTTCTAATGTATAAGATAAGACATATATGTCTTCTATCCGGGCGATGACGGTAGTGTTATTCGATTGCACTAGCTTGTGTTCAACGTTGATGCAAATGTTGTAATAAGCCATTTGTAATGAGAACGATGCATTTGTAATGAGAACGATGCCAATTGATAAGAATAAGAAAGCAAGCTTTCTCAATGCAAAGCCTACTAATACATATTTGGTTATGAATGTGTCAAGATTATTATAGCACAAGGCTTGATGGTATGCCCAAATTAGTCGCAAAGTAGGAACTGCTGAATTATACAGAAACAAATAAATACATTTTGACAGCAATACACTGGCTGATTCATCATTCTCAAACAGGTACTACACTACCAAACCCATCACGGCTAGATAAGAAGGGTGGCATGGAATGGAAGAGTGGGATGGGATGGAATGAGAGAGTGAGAGTGGGATGGAATGAGAGAGATGATGGTGGTGAGGAAGGAGAGTGGGAGGGCGTGTGGAAAGACGAGAGGGAGGGCGGGAAGAATGTGTAGAGAAAGGACGGAAAGGGATCAGAGATGGAGAGCGTAAGGTAAGGAGGGAAGGAGGTAAAGAGAGTGGAAGGTAAGGAGTGCGGGAGGTAAGGAGTGCGGGAGGTAAGGAGGGTGGGTGGTTGGTAAGGAGGGTGGGAGGAGGGCGCTGGGAGGGTGGGCAAAAGCAGGGGAAGCGACGGCGATGGGGAAGGGAAGGTCCACCAGGAAGCGCAGTAGACTTGTCCCTCCCCCTCTGTCCCTTCCCCCCTCTGTCCCTCCCCCCGTCTGTCCCCCCACCCCTGTCTCCCCCCCTCTGTCCCATCACCTCGAAAAGAATGAGGGAGGAAGGACGGGTTGGAGAGAGAGAGAGAGAGAGAGAGAGAGAGAGAGAGAGAGAGAGAGAGAGAGAGAGAGAGAGAGAATGTGGGAAGGAGAGCGAGTGAGAGGAGTAAGTGAGAGTGGGAGAAAAGGTGAAAGAGAGAGATGGGAGGACGGTCCGTGGTGGTGTGTGGGGGGGATGGAGGCAGACAAGTAGGGGGGATCCTGGGGGGAATGCTGGTTTGGGGGGGGGGGGGGAAGGGGTGCGTTCAGGAGCACGTTCTGCAGCAAGAAGTGCGCCTTGCTGAGGGTGATGTTGCTACAGTTGGTCTGCATGTCCTGGGAGAGGGAGCGACATGAGGCACCTCTGAGAGCCCGAGAGGCACCCATCCTGACCAAACTCATGGGAAGTGGGTGGCTGCGAAGAAGGGAAGGAAGGCGGAAAAGGGGAGGATGGGAAACAGGGGTGAGGAGAGGAGGAGCGGAAGGGGGATGGGGGAATGGGAGGTTGGGTGGGGTCAGTATGGGGTTGTTTGGGCATCAAGAGAGATAAGAGGGCCGGTAAAATGCTGGTGGCGTATGGGGGGGAAGGCGGGTGGCGTATGGGGGGGAAGGCGGGTGGCGTATGGGGGGAAGGCGGGTGGCGTATGTGGGGGAAGACGGGTGGCGTATGGGGGGGAAGGCGGGTGGCGTATGGGGGAAGGCGGGTGGCGTATGGGGGGGGGGGGGGGGGAAACAGGGTGGCGTATGGAGGTGAAGGCAGGTTGCGTGGGGGGGAGGGAAGACGGTGATGTGCGGGGGAGATGGAGTCGGGTATGTGGGGACCCGAGGGCGACGGGGAGGAGCGAGGGCGTGAAGGGGAAGCGACGAGGGGAAGTGCGGGTTCGTTGAGAAGAGCGAGAGATAAGAGGAAAATTGGGTGACTAGGGGAAGTGACGAGGGGAAGCGCCGTTGACGAGCGGAAGCGCGGATGACGAGGGGTAGTGCGGGTGACGAAGGGAGGTGCGGGTGACGGGGAGGCGAGGGCGACGACAGGAGGCGCGGGGGATGAGCGGAGGCGAGGGCGGCGAGGGTCAGCGAGGGTGACGTGGGAAAGCGCAGCCGACGAGGGTAAACATTAGCGACTAACGACAGCGTGCGCCATGCAAAACTGTACGGAATTCGCGTGAGTGACCCGTGCCCAAAACGGTACAATCGTGACACGAGGCTAAACCGAAGCAACTGTGAGCCTGCGTGTACGATGCGAGCTTGAATGCAATGCGCGAGTAAGGCGAAGATAGTTCACTAACGTAAGTGCCGCGGGTGAACGGGTTGCAACACGAGACCGGCGACGTGATGGGGAGATCGGAGCGTGCACTGTGCAAGATGGTTGAGGTGGTTACCTATCTCTCTTTCCGCACAAAAAAAACACCCTAACAACGACTCGCTTTCACTAATTAGCGCTCGTTTCTACCTTGCAGCCGCCTACTTTCTGCCTTGCGTACTACTTGGTGTCCAAGTTATGTGAGTGGTGAACAGTGCATATGGTTGGCGATCATCGCGTCAGTTCTGTTTTTGGCCACTCAGCTTCCATTGTCCCAGCACGATTGCCTGGGGTCGCGAGAGTTTCTTCAAACCAAGTAGGGTTACCCAGTTTTTGGCGATTTCAAGTTCAAGAATCTTGAACTTGAAAATTACCATGCTGTACTCGGGCTTTGAGAATGTAGCGAGGGCATGAAGTAACCCATTGTGAATTTGTCAGGCCGCAATTCGCGGTGCCAGCGAATGCCGCTGCGTCAACATGGGCACATAGTTCCCCAGTTTCGTTTCCCTCTATAGAATTATCCGCGCTGTGTTGTTCAAGTCCAACGGCTCTTTTTGCACCTTTTCTGTTCGTGCTGCACTCACATCGCAACCTCACCTAGTCGGGAAATGTAGGTCTTCAGTTCAAAGTATCCAGCATTCTCGCGCCTCGTTGCTCTCGGGCGTTAGTCCCTTGTAACCGAACGTTCCCTTCGCAGCGAAAAAACGACAGGAATCGGACTGCGTAGACTAGCCTGGATGTCCTTGTTACTAGGTAAGAAGGCTTTGCATGAAGGCATATGCTAGTTGCATCACCTTCTAAGGCAATATTGTGACAAACTCTTAACAGAGGTATAGGCTCGCGACGTACGAGTGAGCGAAGAGGTTTTCAAGATGCCGCATTGTATATATGCATTCGCGACAAAACTGTAACTCACTTTACCCGCAACTTCCTCGAGTATTGCCTGTTCCTTCGCGCACGGCGCTCAAGTTTCGATTAAAAATTTGCAGCGGACCTAATCCAAGGCGACTTGTGAAGAATAAGGAAACCATAATCGACGGCGAATTCCTCGGGGTATAGGCGTTCGAGGTCAGATCTGGAATCGCAGTTGATGATCCAATGCGACTTGTGACGCATCTCATCCGTAGGAAACCCTAACCGACACGCACTTCCTTGACTATTACCTACTTCTACTGCTCCTGCTCATGCTCCTCCCGCTGCCCCTGCTGCTGCTCCTGCTACTGCTGCTGCTGCCGCTCCTCCTCCCACCCTTCAGAGCTAACAATTTAGCGTCTGCTGCTGTGCGTCCTTCTGCTGCTGCTCCAATGACAGCTCCTGCTGCTGCTCCCGCTCGCCGTATGGACTACAGCAAATGGGACCACTTGCATTCCAGCAGCGATGAGGAGGAGGAGGAGCAGGAGAAGCGGAAGAAACAAGGAGAAGAAGGAGGTACAAGCTGCTGCCAAGGGCAGCGCGTTCGTTCCTCAGCTTGTTGGAACGCCATGGGGTGGGCTGACGCTTGAAAAGGTTCGAGGGCCCAAGCCACCATCCCAAGAGAAGCCGTGCAGAGTGGGAGATGTGGAAGGGCAAGGCCCAGATTCTTGCTGCTGCCAAGGCCGGCGCGTTCGTTCCTCAGCTTGTTGGAACGCCATGGGGTGGGCTGACGCTTGAAAAGGTTCGAGGGCCCAAGCCACCATCCCAAGAGAAGCCGTGCAGAGTGGGAGATGTGGAAGAACAAAAAGGAGAGGGGCCAGAGAGGCCAGGAGCTGAGGAAGACTCGGAGAAGCTGCAGCTGCTGTGTCGGGACGACATGGTTCACTACCTGGATGTGAGGGACGCGTGGGGCGTGGCAGTGTGCGAGTGCTGCTTCCACCGCGCTGTCAGCCAGCGCACCCAGCACGCCCTCGTCATGACCACCCTCAAAGCCTTCCGCTCCCACGTGCAGTCGCCACAGCCTGCGTCCATCCCGCTCGCTCCCAACCGCCACGCCCGGGGTACTTACGAATATTCATTGAAGGTTCCCCTGCCGGAGGCTCTGGCGCAGCTCAATGTGGCAGCTGACGTGCACGTTGAAATGAAGGGCGAGATGGCCGCTCTCATCTGTGCGGAGGCCATGCTGCTTGAGTGGATGGCTGAGCCGCGTGTGGGCGTGCTGATGGACCTGGGCACGATCAGATCCCGCCTGCCTGCCATCATGCCTGCTACAGAGTGCCCAGCTGCTAAAGCTTCCCCTGCCGCTGCTCCTCCTGACGCCCTGCCGGCTACTGCTGCTTCCCCAGCTGCTTCTGCCCTTCCTGCAGCAGCAGCAGCAGCGTGGTCGTGCTGCTGGCGCTGCAGCAGCTGCTTTGCTGCCTACCGCCGTGCTGTGAGCTTCGCTGCCTTCCTAGTGCTTGTGGCGAGAAGCTCCCGCTTCGTCACTCTGTGCCGAGCTCATGCCGAAAATTCTAAGGCCTATCCAGCCATCGTGAGTGCGCTAGGGGCAGGCAGGCAGAAGGACGATGACACCTTCGCTTCTATTAAGGTTCAGATCCTCGGGTTGAAGGAAACCGCGGACCTGGAGGAAGGGTTTGGTGTTCTCATGCAGAACCTGCTTTCGGGGGGGCTGGAGAAGGCACATGCAGGGAGGAAGGGGGGAGCAGGCATGGACATGGCAGACGGATTTGGTAGCTTCATGCAGAATCCGCTGCCAGGCGGGGTGGAGAATGCACACGCAGAGGGGGGAGGTGGGAGAGGAGTTGTAGGAGAAGGGGGCGGAGGAGCAGGGCAGATGGAAAAGGATGAATGCACGAAAGGGTCGTGGGGAAGCAAGGACGGTGGCGGCAGGGATGGGAGAAATGGGAAGGGTGGGCAGTGGAGGGAGCATTTCAAGGGGCGTGCGTGGGAGAGGTATGTGGATGGCATGGCTTGGATTCTGCAGCATGGAGGGGGGGAAGGGAGGGAGTTGAAGTGCAGCCACTGCAGTGAGGGGGGCAGCAGCAGCCGCAGTGACGTTGTCACCAGAAGCAGCAGTGGCAGCAGCAGCAGCGTGGGTGTGACGAAAATTCCCAAGAGCACGTATGTGAGTGGCGTGGGTGCGACCGACTTTGCTCTTTCCGTTGCAGCCGTGCTGTCGAGGCAATAGTACTGCAAGGAGAGTGACCTGTACTTCCGAGACGGCAACACTGCGAGCAAGACACGTGTGGAGGATGCACCCATTGAGACGGAGGGAGATGCTCAGCAGTAGGATATGGGGTGGAGGAGGGGCAGCAGGCAGAGGCGTGGGAGCAACAGCACCAGCAGCACCCCCAGCAGTGGCAGCGGCATTTGCCAGCACTCTTGTGAACACAAACCCTGTAGTTGCAGTGTTCACGTATCGTGCTGCCTGCATTCTGCAGTGGGCGCGCACCTATGGCGCACAACTCGTCCCCGCTACTCAGTGCTGCAAGGACAGCCCCCACGGGAAGGTCCGCCCCATCCGCCACCCGCTTCGGGACCTTCCAAGCCTGCTGGTCAGGCTCGGTGCCATCCCCAAACCGCTGGACCAAGGTAGGTTCCCCTTGGAGTGGGAAGAGTGGCCTCGTGGAGATGAAGCTGCCGCAACGCTTCCTCATGACCCCCGTGCAAGATTCTTCCACCTGGGAATTGTGGAGGAAGCGAATGGGACAGCAAGGGAGAAGGGCGGACAGGGGTCAAATGCAGGAGGCAAGATTGGGACCGCGAGGGGGAAAGGAAGAGACAAAGGGAAGGGCAAGCGGGAGGGAAGGAGCAGAGTGCATGGGGACGACGAGAGGCTGCTACAGCAGGTGCTTACGGAACTGCTGCCGCTCGTGCAGAGGAAGTTCCCCATCGTGCGCTGCACTGCCGATGCGGAGTTCATAGTGGAGTTTGCCGGGCATGTGGTGCAGCCTCCTGCATGCGCTCAGTGCAAGCAGTGCCTTGCTGTCTACAGCCGTCGCATGGCCTTCCTCATGGTCGTCACCAACTACGCCTACCGACCTGCCACCACCCTTTTCAACCGCTTTGTATCCATCTTCCCGCCACTCTCTCCCGAATTTGAGCGGCTCACTGTTAGTTTGGGTCTGCCGGCTTTCCGTGTCAGCATGCCGGGCTTTCTAAGGTCGCCTGTCGTGCAGGCACGGGCAGAGAAGTTTCCTGTGTACTTCCTGTTGACTGTGGCTCTGAAATGTCCTCTCCCCATCATGGGAATCACGGACCTCATGTTCCTACACAGGCTGCAAGACGGAGAGGAAGAGGACGGCAGGTTGTGGGAGGAGGTGCAGATGTGGTGCCTGGCGATGCTGTTTGCGTGGACGGGCGGCATGAAGCTCGAGGTCGACGCGCTGACTGACACGTGCAAGGGCAGACAGGGGCTGTCCTCCGCGCATGGACCGGAGGAACGATTTTTTGCAACTGAGAAGGGGCAAGAGTTGTTCAGAAGGGCTACCATACCCAGGATGAGAATGGGCCTTCTGAAGGTGCCCGTAGCAGCAACAATCGCAGCGGCAGCTGCGAGAGCAACAGCTCAAGTGACAGATGAGGCAGAAAGAGCGGGATCCAGGGGAGTGGGGGGGTTGATGGGATGGGCGATGAGGGGGGGGGAACCGGCTTACCTGAAGTCTGAGAAGAAACGAACGAGAGAGAATGGAATGAATATGAACGAAGTGGGTACAAATAGCAAACCCTAATTGGGTTGTACCCCCTATGGGATACCCCACTATAGCCTACACAAATAAGTAAGCTATAAGTTCTGACACACCCCCAAAGGCAAAGTGGGGGAGAACAAGGGGTCACAAGACCAGTCAAACAAAGCAAAGCAAAGCTCAGGGTGGATCACAAAGTCACCACACAGTCCGAGCACAAGGTCAAGGGCCACAAGGCCAGTTCACATGCAAGATCGTATATAGAGATATACAAGAGTATATATAGGTGAAGGTACAAGCAAGGTCAAGAAGTGAGCAAGTGAGGCAAAACAGGTACAAGACCCAGCTGCGTGCAGCAACGCTGATGATCACAAGGCGCAAGTGCCTTGGTGAAGACATCAGCAGTGTTGGCCTCAGAGGCCACGTACGCAAGTCGCAACTGTCCACGCTGCTGTAGCTCACGAGCAAGAAAGTAGCGGAGAGCAATGTGCTTTGTCCTGTGCTCCAGTCGCTGCTCTCGACACAAGGCCAGCATGGCCTTGTTGTCTACGTACAGGACTGGAGGAGAACGAGGCGGCTCTCCAAGGTCGGTCAGCAAATAGGTGAGCCAGCGAAGCTCCTGAGCAGCCATAGCTCCGGCGTAGATCTCAGCCTCACAACTGGAGCCAAGAACAGAAGACGAGCGGGTAGCCCGCCACGAAACAGAGCCGGAACCAAGACTGAATGTGTAACTCTGTGACGACCGCTGCGTAGCCTGGTCGTCAGCCCAAGAAGCGTCCGCGTGCCCAGTGAGGACCACTGGACTGCGCCCTCCAAGCACTAGCCCTATGCCCGACGTACTGCACAAGTAGCGCAACACCCTCTTCGCTGCAGCCATGTGCTCTGGTCGGTGTCTCCCAGGAGCAACATAGCGTGCGAGAATGCTAAGAGGGTATGCAAGGTCAGGTCGTGTGCAGGTTATCAGGTACCTGAGGCAGCCAACAAGCTCTGCATACGGGCCACTCGACTCTACGGACTCATCCGAAGGCAGAGCTGAGAGCGAGTGGCGAGTAGGCAGAGGAGTGGCCTGAGGCGAGGAGTACGTGAAGCCGAAGCGCTGAAGGACCTGCTGCACCATGTGTGACTGAGTCAGGGTAATGGTGCGGCGTGCTCTGTCCCGGGTGATCTGCAAGCCAAGGTAGCTGCGCAGTTCACCCAGGTCAGTGCAGGTGTGTCTCTTCTGCAGCTTGGACTTCACGTAGGCGAGTCCAGCAGTGTCAGCTGTGGCAAAGACCAAGTCGTCGACGTACACGAGGATGTAGAACGGCGGCAGAGAGGTGTCAGTGCGCAGAAACAGCGACGGGTCTGCAGTCGAAGGAGCAAACCCAAGTGCCGCAAGCGTAGTCCTCAGTGTGTCGTGCCACTCACGCGGCGCCTGGCGGAGACCGTAGTCTGGACGCCGGAGACTCCACTGGGTACCAAAAGGGAAAGACCCAGTGAAGCCAGGTGGGCGACGCAGCCAGATCTCCTCGTGCAGGGTTTAGGGTTCAAGAAAGCAGTGCTGAAGTCGAGAGAGTGGAGCTCGTAGTCACGGTGAGCAGCAAGGTGCAGCAGTACCCGAAGAGTGGTCATCTTCGGGGTGGGGGAGAAGGTCTGAAAGTAGTCAACTCCCTGCCGCTGACTGAAGCCACGAGCCACGTAACGCGCCTTGAAGACAGGCGGAGAACCCGGCGGCCGCTTCACCCTGAAAATCCACATGCCACTGACAATGTTCGCCCCAGGAGGGGGGACAGCGTCAACGTAGGTGCCTGTGGACTTCCAGGAAGCCATCTCTGCATCCATAGCTGCCTGCCACTGAGAGGAGTAGGGACCCTCTATCGCCTCCGCGTAAGAGCGTGGAGTCGGGTTGTCTAGTGCATCCGGGTCTCCCTCAGGGGCGAGCAGTACAGACGCGAGATGAGGTGAAGCGGCGGCCAGACACTGGAACTCCTCCTGCCTGTCCTCAAGGACGTCCGTGCCAAGGGCACACTCACCCCCGACGGACGGAGGACAGGCAGACTCAGACTCAGCGACAAGACTAGCAGCGTAGTCTAGACGACAGCATGCAGCAAAGTCGACGAGCTCAGTGACTAGGGCAGACGCAGCAGAAGACTCGAAAGAAGGGTCAGTGACAGCAGTAGCAAGGAGACGCGTGACAGTGGGACTGGCAGCACGAAGAGAGTCCGACTCCGGGTCGGCAAGAGCAGGAAGAGAGGAAGAAGGAGGAGAAGGCAAAGGGGCACGTAGAGGAGCAGTGGACAGACGCAGAGACATCCAGTGCGTGCCAGGGACAGGAGGAGGACGCTGACGTGAACCGCGACCACTAGTGCGCGCAGGACGAACAGGCGACGCAGGACGAGACGCAGGCTCATGACGCTCAGTAAGACCTCCAGTAGGACCAGCGTAGGGAGAAGGAGCAGGCAAAAGGGAAGCAGGCTGTAGCTGTGACTGGGACTGGACAGGCTGTGGACCCTCTAAGGGAGGAGGAGGAGGAACAGGAGAAGGCGTAAAACCAAGAACCTGCTGCAGGAGCGGAACGAAGTACGGTCGGGGCCGCGTGGCGACGCCAAAAACAGCAGGTACAGCACCACTACCCCCGGCAGGAGAACCCGCTCCAGCAGCACCTCCAGCAGCACCTCCAGCAGCACCTCCAGTAGCTCCAGAACCCCCAGCAGCACCAGGAGCACTGCCAGTCGGACCGCCAGCAGTAGTCTCAGCGCCAACACCCTCAGCAGCACCAGCTCCAGTCGACCCCGCAGGCCCAGCAGCTCCAGTACTCCCAGAACGAGCACCTCCGGGACCCGTGGCAGCAGCACCCTCAGCAGTCGAAGAACCTCCAGCACCAGCAGCACGCCTCCAGCGCCGGGCAAACCACTCAAGCAGCTCCTGTGGGGAGAGTGGCTCTTGGCGAGACGAAGTACCTCCAGGCGGAGAACCTCCAGGCGAAGAACCTCCAGGCTCAGCACCCTCAGTCAAAGCACCTCCAGGCGGAGCACCCCCTGTCTCAGCACCCCCAGGCTCAGCACCCCCAGGCTCAGCACCCCCAGACTCAGCACCCCCAGGCACACTACCCCAAGGCTCAGCACCCCCAGACTCAGCACCCCCAGGCTCAGCACCTCCAGACTCCGCACCCCCAGGCTCAGCACCCCCAGGCGTAGCACCTCCAGTCCCAGCACCCCCAGGCTCAGCTCCCGCAGCAGTACCAGAGTCACCAGTGACCTCGACAGGCTCGACCGCGTCTACCTGGGACACACCTGAAGGGGCAGGACCCTGAGGGGGGAAGGGGCCTACCGGGGGGGGACCTGGTACCAAGAAGAGCGAGGGCGGGGGGAGAGACGGAGTGCGGTAGGGGAAGAGGCGGTAATAGGGCACCGACTCGTCGAACGTGACGTCCTGGGAGGTCAGAACACGTCGAGAGGTGGGGTGGTAGAACTGCCACCCAGGGGCGTCGGGGGGGAACCCCAGGAAGACGCAGGGAGCAGCGCGAGGGGACAGCTTGTCCGAAGACAAGTCGCGGACAAACGCCCGAGATCCCCAGACCCGGAACGCCGACGCATCGCCAACCTTCCCCGTCCACAGCAGGGCTGGGGAGGTCTCCGGCATGGAGACCCTGGGGTGAAGGTTGATCTGATGCGCCGCGTACCTGACCGCAAACGGCCACAGAAAATGGGGGGCAGCCGCATGCATCATAGACGTACGAGCAACGTCCATGACCATGCCAATGCGGCGCTCAGCGATCCCATTTTGCTGCGGGGAGTCCGGAAGCGTGAAGGTCTGGCGGATGCCTCGCGCACGACAGAAGGCACGCAGAAGGCCAGAGGAGAACTCTCCGCCTCTGTCCGAGTGCAGACGCAACACAGGAAAGTCCGAGCCAAAGCTCTGCTTGAGCTGGAGACGAGATGCGCGGATCCAGTCGATCAGCACCTCAGTGACATCACCCTTGCTGCGCAAGGGGAAGACTGTGGTGTAACGCGAGTAGTCGTCAACCACCAACAGGAAGTAGCGCTCGTGACCGAGTCCACGGACGCGGGCAGGGCCCCACACGTCCATGTGAAGCGTCTGCAACGGAGCCTCTGTCGGAGGAAACTGGGAGGAGTGAGGGGCAGCGCGCTGGCGCCCCTCGACACAGGGGACACAGGCAGGGCCAGGGCCCTGAGGAAGGGGAGGGAGGGACCGGGGGAGACCAGACACAAGAAGACGGGAGGCCATGCCTCTGAGCCGAAGCAGAGAGGGGTGGCCAAGGCGGTGGTGCCAGAGGAGAGTCTCGTGGGACAGACGGCGACACGAACAGGGGGCTGACTCAGGACCAGACCTGGACGCTGCAGCAAACACCTGACCAGACGAAGGGACTCTACCAGACTCAGCACCAGGAGGAGAAGCAGTGGTCAGTGTGTACAGGCTCGACCCTGGCTGACGTGTAAACGTAGCCAGGTGGCGACCTGTGCTAGCCTCTATGCAGTGTGTCACCCGCTGACGAGCAGGAGTGAACTGGTGGACACCCGCATCCTGTAGGTCAGCACCACTCACCAGGTTCGTAGAGAACGAGGGGAGGTAAAGACCAGTCAGGGTGCCAGAGGGAGCCGCCGGACACGGGAGGACTGTGGAGAAACGAGACAGGACAGGACCCCCAGAGGGGTCAGCCAGGGACACCGCAACAGGCCGACTAAGCGGCGTGAGAGTGGTGCGGTCCCGAAAGAAGGAGCGAGACGCTCCAGAGTCAAGGGTGAAGGTGTGGGAGGCAAAAGCCGACACAGTACCTGAGAGGGCAGACTCACTAGCACGTGAGAGCACAGACGCACTGGCACCTAGAGCAGCAGCCTCACTGGCACCTGACACAGCAGTACCAATGCCCGGGTCGGGCGGAAAGCACCGGTAACAG